TTTTTGTGGTTGTTTAATTTTTACTAGGCACTGTAGATAGAAAGCTAATCATTGGATAGCAGTCAGAGAGTAGAGCACTAAAGTTTGCTTGATATCATTGCTTGATTAGCCTACACGATCTGGACTGTTCGTTGAAGCTGTATTTTCAACTTGTTTATGTGGGTCACTCTCACTCATGTCAACAGCATTTTGACCTTTCATTGAACTTGCTTTTCCCTGCTGGAGCAGTATATTAAATTCGACTATCGTACATCATGTTTTAAATTTATTTGCTATTTGACTTAACTATTTGGCTACACAATGACACCTCAAGTATACACAGTAAAACAACCCCGTCCACATGCCCCCGATATTATCCTGGCATGAAATCCTTCGCTCGATCAAGGGATCAAGATCGGGACTGTTGGATTGCATTCGTAGCAAACTAGCAAACAAACCCAGACATAACAGAACAGCTAATTGGATGTTACATCAATGATGCAGATATGCTACATGAATGAACCACACGATGGCCCAGAACACGCAAGGGTGCTCATTACGGAACATACTGTTAGGTGAAACTAGTCTTACATAGTAATTTTTTAGTTTTCATGTTGACCATGAAAATGCTTACACAATTTTTAGCTCTATATATAATTATGTCAAATGGAAGCTTGCCTGCATGGCTGAATCTTGCACTAGGAGTATGAGTTTTATTCCTTAACATGAGCTGTAAAATGCAAAGTAGAAATACTCCCAGAGAAGCTGTACAGATACATCCTTTATTTTACTCTCTTGAATTAACAAGTACAATTAAGTACAATGCACTAACTGGGTGCACATCCACACTACCTGTTAAGTAAAGAGGGCAAGAGGGATTTTGAGACAAGAGGGTGGTGTTAGATGCAGGAGTCTGAAGAAAAGGAGGGAACAATGATGTGGTCCAGGGGTTTGTTTGCCCATCAAAGTGAGACAAAGAGACAGAGAGAGTGATGTGTAGGAGCTGTCGACAGAACATGTATAGATTGATTAAAAAGATATAGCCATCAAACGATTTTTTTAAAGATGGTTAAAAGATAAAAAGTTTCATGAAATACAATATTACTTTGGATGAGCTGAAATCAGCAAATCGCACTGATAATTAACTTCAGTTTTTCTAAAACCCCAATTGACAAAGTCCAAGACAGCCGATGTTGCATCCTGTATATCAACTATTAGTATCCTTATGACAGACAAAGTCTCTTGACGAAGTCCAAGAGAGCTTATGTGCAAACTGTATCAACTGTTAATGTTATGTTGCAGTATGATCATAAAATTTATTCTAGATTTCATTTCCATCGCCCACAAACATTCAAATTTTCTTTGCAATATTTTACTAGTGCATTGTGAATATTTTTTTTTTGGATATGGACATTTTCATTGACGTTCGTTCTTGCTGAACCATGTAAATAAATCTATGTCCTTCTTGAAGCTTTAGCAAATTCTCTGTCATGCCCTTCTGACGATTGAAGTTGCCTGTCTTAGAATAATTCCATCGTTCTTCGCAGGTATGATTACTCTGGTTATGGGCAGTCATCAGGCAAGGTAATTTATCTCTGTTCTTTTTTAAAACTATGCTCTTACGGTACCATGTCACCTTCAGTCGAGGGGCACCTCACAACATTATTCTTGGCCTTTCTTGTTACAAAAGAGGCTTTGAAACTGATTCATGCTAGAGTGAGTTTGATTCAGGGGACGTTTGTTCTGAACTAGTTCATCTTTTTAGCAGTCGAACCATTTTTAGGATAAAACAACAGTGCTAACACAATCTTTCTGTAAAATCCATGTTCAGCCAAGTGAAGCTAATACCTTTGCTGACATAGAGGCTGCATACAAGTGCCTTGTGGACGTTTATGGAACTAGGGAAGAAGACATTGTTCTGTATGGTCAGTCCGTTGGCAGCGGACCAACCCTTGATTTAGCTGTTCGTTTCGATCGCGTAAGAGCTGTTGTTCTACACAGTCCAATACTGTCTGGGTTGCGTGTCATGTATTCTGTGAAGAAAACGTACTGGTTTGGCATATACAAGGTTTGCCTCTCTGTCTGAAGTATCAAGATGACTGATTTACATCCTGTATATGCTAACACTTGTTCCATTTGCAGAACATCGACAAAATCCGCCATGTTCAATGCCCGGTTTTGGTAATCCATGTAAGCTCTTTATACACATCTACGTGGTAGTGTTCTTCAACTAGCCTCAGATCATTAATAAACTGGATCATTATTTTCATTTTCAGGGCACAAAAGATGACGTCGTCGACTGCTCCCATGGCAAGCGGCTCTGGGAGCTGTGCCTGTGCCAGCACAAGTATGAACCTCTGTGGATTGAGGGAGGTGACCACGGCAACCTGGAGAAATTCCCAGTGTACATACGACATCTGAAGAAGTTCTTATCGACCATAAAGAAGTTGCCATCTGAAAAAGATGAGCATGAGACATCGGCAGCTGAAAACAGAACGCAGCCTGACAGTGAAGCCATCTCTGAGGCTCCTTCTCGCATGATCTCGCGAAGGCTAGAGCCATCGAAGAAGAACACGATCCATGAAGAGCATACGCTGAGCACCGAGCACGTAGATAAGCGCAGGCGAAGCACGGGCCACAGGGCAGCGGCGAATCTAGGATTTTAGATCAGGGTACGCCGTCAAAAAAAATTCATATATAAATTGGTAAAATCATTTGACAATTTGGTAACAATTATGAAATTTGCAATGTAATTCGACATATATACCCTAAATAACACGATAAGTTTTAAATTTGAAGATTAAGTTGAAAAACATCCACAACATTACAATATGAATAGTTTAGGCATCATAATGATAGCTCCAAATATATGCATAAAAGAGAGTAAGAGACTTACAATACTACTTATCTGATATTTTTAGCCGACGCTTTCTATGGGACATGAATGCGTTGATGATATCACCTTCTTCCAGCCAATTATTAAAAAGGGATGCAATATCTCCATCTCTCTTGATAACTACACAATTATTAAAAATACAATACCAAACAATTAAACAAATTGCAAATGCACGGATTGAATCCTCAATCCTCATATGTGATGACACAAACACTCACATGATACTAAATTGTTGATCAATTTCGGTTGTCTCTGATGTTGAGCAAATCTCCGATCTCACTGCATATTATTGATGACCGGATAATATTAGCCATGGATATAAACATGATATTTCTATAGAAAGACGAATAGTAAAAAAAAGAGATTGATTCTCACCGCGGTGGCTCAGGCAGTCGGACTATATATGCACGTTAATCGTGCACGCGCATCATACCGATCCTCCATGTCACGTACTCGGCAGTCGGCGCCGTGAAGATTCAAGCCTCGAGACGGCGGCCAGCGGGCGAGACTCTAATCTGCGATACTAGTAGATCAATAGGAAGTCCAGACGTCGCGCGGTCAGGAACTGCGCGGTCTAAGGACTGGACCTTGACTTTCCGAATTTCCGCCTGGCGTCCTTATGGCCGCGAGGGCAGGACCTGGGCTTCAGGTCTGTATGGCCGCGTGGGCCTGGAAACCAGGAAAGTCCATCGTCTCTCGGCAAGGAGCTGCTGCTGCATTCATTTTCCATGGTGCAGATACGATCTTTTTTGTTTTTTTACAAATACAGATGTATACACATGAAAGCTATTGCAGTGCATACCTGGCATAGCCTGTAGCTCCGCCCCTGCCACAGGGAGAAGGCGAGGTCCAGCACAGACAGGAGATCGAGGAGGAGCGTGGACTGCTTCGACAGCATTCTCGAACATGAGCAGCCGGAAAAGCCAAGGAAAAGCTTTGATAGGTTGGTTTCTGCCTCCGCTGTCGTGTCATGGCCATTGCAATTTGCTTATTTCAGTCGAGGTGAGGAAAATTCAGCCCCGTCAGTCATTCTTTCCCCTACAAGTTTAAAATATTTCCTCATTGTTCTTGTGCAGGATCGGAGAGAAGATTAGAGCCATGGGTCTGTGCAATGTCGACTGCTTCAAAGAGCCTCCTGACAGCGGTGAGCTTAGCCGAGGTCGATGAATGGAATGGGTTTCTGGTTGCTGTCAGTGTCAGTGTTTTTCCCTTGTTGCTTAGATATAAAAGAAGACTGCGTGATGGGAATGTTAATCATAAGATGTTCACGAACAGTAAAGAGAAATATAGCACGATCTTTATGTCAGCTTCTGATTCTCTTTTACACTTGTATACGTTACGTTGCTTGAAGCTAGCTTGTAAACACACACACACACAGAACACAACGCTGTGATCTGTCCGGATAGAGACTGCTCTGTCTGTTACCAGCAACAGCAAGAAAGATACACCCTCCATCCAAAAATATCTCGCTTCGTGAAGAATCAAACCTTCAAGTAGAAAATAGTATGAACATTTGTATATCTAAATAAGTTTATCATAAAAAATATTTGACGATTAATCCAATAATATTTATTACACACCATAGATATTAGTATTTTTATATGTTTAGTTAAATTTGAAAATATTTTAATTTCTTGAGAAGTGAGGTGCATATTTTTATTGGACAGGAGTAGCTTCCAACACTGAGGGCCTATTTAGAACGCAGGAATTTCACAGGAATCACGCAGAAATTTCACAAGAATCAGTTTAATTTGAAAGGAAAAGCACGTTCCTGCGTTCCAAACAGGCTCTGAGCTGGCTACAATCATCACGTATGATTTCATGACATTTCGATAAATGGGCCTAAGCAGAAGAAAGAGGCCTATTTGGGCCTATGAAAGCAGAAAAAAGAGGCCCGGCTCACAGTCACAGTGACTCAGTGACAGTGTTCGGGCCAGGCTGCTTCTAGAAGCTTCGGCCGCGCCTCATCTCATCTCCTACCTCCTGTTGAACCCTCCGGCCTCCCACAGCTTAGTACAAAAACCCTAACCCACATCCCTTATCCTCTTCTGCTCCCTCTCCCCCTCCCTCTCTACGAACGTTGGCGCGCAAGCTCGTGGCGTGCGCGGTCACCGTCTCCCATCCCATGGCGCCGGCGCTGAGCGGGACTCTGGGCGCGTCGTCGGTGGCGGCGCTGCGGCCCTGCGCGGGCAGGAGGGCGCCGTCCGCCGCGACCTCGGCTGCGCCGCGGGGGAGCGGGGCGGTCAGGTGCGCCAGAGGGCTCAGGTGGGAGGCCCACAGAAGCAGGGGGAGGTCGCTCAGGGTGAGGTGCGATGCGGCCGTCGCCGAGAAGCCCGCCGGGGAGGAGGCGGCTGGGGAGAAGTTCGAGTACCAGGCGGAGGTGAGACATGGGCACGGTCCATATATATCTGTAATTTCAGATGGAATTTTTAATTGACGTTCGTCCGTACACCTTGAGAATTTTTTGAGGGGTTGAATTAATGTGATAAGGTTACCCACAGTTCAGCAGAAATGTTGCCAAAGTATGACCGAGTTTGATTGTGTGCGACCACTGGTTACTGAAATATGTATGTTTGTTTCTGTTCTACCTTGTAGGTGAGCCGGTTAATGGATTTGATCGTCCATAGTCTATACAGTCACAAGGAGGTATTTCTCCGCGAGCTTGTTAGGTCAGTACCTTTTGCTGGAACCTGGAAACCTATGGCAATTCATTCGATGCCATTATTCATGGATTCTACTTATCTGCTGCTCTACCAGCAACGCAAGTGATGCATTGGATAAGCTGAGGTTTCTCGGCGTGACTGATTCCTCTTTGCTCGCTGATGGCGGTGAGCTGGAAATAAGGATTAAGCCTGACCCTGATGCTGGAACGATTACTATCACGTAAGTTCCTGTTAATGACAGAACTACTTGTTGGTGTTCTGTGAACAGACTCTAATGGCATGACTTTCTGGTGGCTATTGGTTTCAATAGTGACACTGGTGTTGGTATGACTAAAGATGAGCTCAAGGACTGCCTTGGTACCATTGCTCAGAGTGGTACCTCAAAATTTCTGAAGGCCCTCAAGGTGCAGCATCATACCTTCCTTGACAATTGTGCATACATCTATGAGTATGGGATATGGTTATGGCCTAAATGCTGTAGTGTCTATGTGATTGTTTCATTGTCTTTTTCCTTAATGTCAAAATGTATTGCTCTTCAGGAAAAAACAAAGACCTTGGGAAGGACAATGGTCTAATTGGTCAGTTTGGTGTTGGATTTTACTCAGCTTTTCTTGTTGCAGAGAAGGTTTGAGATATTTCTTGGATGCTCTTTTTTTTTCTTAAATAATTTTACATGGAATGAGCTTTTTCTCGTTTTGCACTGGCTTAGATCATTATTTAAGTTGACATTTTGTCAAACCCACATTGCAGATTGTGGTGTCCACCAAGAGTCCAAAATCAGATAAACAGTATGTGTGGGAAGCTGTGGCTGACAGTAGCTCTTATGTCATCAAGGAAGAGACTGATCCTGAGAAAATGCTTACACGTGGAACTCAGATTACTCTGTTTCTAAGGGTATGTTGCTATGTTCTTCTGATATGCCAGGAAATGCTTTTTCTTAATAGCAACCTTATGTTAATATGTCTTGTATAGCCTGATGATAAGTACGAGTTTGCGGACCCTTCAAGGATTCAAGGCTTAGTAAAAAACTACTCTCATTTTGTGTCTTTCCCCATATACACATGGCAGGAGAAATCAAGAACTGTTGAGGTAGGGTCTTGACAAAGCTTCTTACTTCTCTTGACCATACCAGTTCTTTTGATCTATGAATGTGTATTGTCTTTTCATTTATTTCACTGATGTAATCCCCCCTTGATTGACAGGATGAAGAGGATGAAGAGCCGAAAGAAGGTGAAGAGGCAACAGAGGTTAGTTTTTCTGAATGGACTCCTAGTTTTCCTTATGTTTGTAGAATCTTGCTTCTTTTGCAACTGATTAGGCATACTTTGACATATAGGGTGAGAAAAAGAAGAAGAAGAAGACTGTTACTGAGAAATATTGGGACTGGGAACTAGCCAATGAAACAAAACCCATATGGGTAAGTCTGGAGTTACTATTGCCTGTTCATACTTAGAACAGCACCCTTCTGGTACTTGTGATCACTTTGGTCTCCAAGGTAGTAAGGGCTAATGAAGAAAACAGACAGTTGATTTCTATTCCCTCCATGCAGATGAGAAATCCAAAGGAAATTGAGAACACTGAATACAATGAGTTCTATAAGAAGACATTCAATGAGTTTTTGGACCCTCTTGCCCACACTCACTTCACAACAGAGGTGTGTGAATTCATTAAACAACTCTGTGAAACACTTAAATTCATGTACATTGTATATAGTCAATAAATTGATCTTTTCTATAAACAGGGTGAGGTGGAATTCAGGAGTGTTCTTTTTATGTTCCAGGCATGGCACCACTTAGTAATGAGGAGATAATGAATCCCAAGACCAAAATATCCGGCTATATGTTAAAAGAGTCTTCATTTCCGATGACTTCGATGGTGAACTGGTACACTATCTTGCAACACTAATAATATATTGTTATTATTTTCTACTATCCATCGATTGAGATGGAACGGATTATTCATTTTAGCGTGCATCTTGCAGTTTCCAAGATACTTGAGCTTTGTGAAAGGTGTGGTGGATTCAAATGACCTTCCCCTCAATGTTTCTCGAGAGATTCTTCAAGAAAGTCGAATTGTAAGTAACAGGTGAAACACCTGCCAGTTTTTCCTCTACCCCTTTGAAATTTTATATTCGGAAGGTTCTTACTGTCGATATATTTAGAGAAAATCTTATGTTTTTGTTGTTCAGGTAAGAATTATGCATAGCGACTTGTCAGGAAGACATTTGATATGATTGAAGAGATTGCGAAAAGGAAGATAAGGAGGTACAACCGGACCTTTAGTTTGCTCCTAGTTAATTTTTTTACTTGATATTGATGTTCTTTAATTTGTTCTGTAGGATTATAAGAAGTTTTGGGAGAGCTTTGGCAAGTTTATTAAGCTTGGTTGCATTGAGGACACAGGAATCCTGGCGCCTTGCCCCATTGTTGCGCTTCCACTCTTCTAAAAATGAGGGAGATACGATAAGTCTTGATCAATATGTAGAGAGCATGCCTGAAAGTCAAAAGGCAATCTACTACATCGCTACAGATAGTCTCCAGAGTGCAAAGACTGCTCCTTTCTTGGAGAAGCTGGTCCAAAAAGATATTGAAGTATGTACTTGACATAGACACAATTGACTTTTTTTTTAACGTAAAGACACTATTGACTATGAGAGAGACATGTTCTTTCTTCTTTTCATACTTTGGCTCAGGGTACTGCTTGCTTTTTTTATTAGGTTCTCTACCTTATTGAGCCAATAGATGAGGTTGCCATTCAGAACTTGCAGACCTACAAAGAGAAGAAATTTGTGGATATCAGCAAAGAGGATCTGGAATTGGGTGAGAAAATGCTTATGCTTGCTCAGAGTGGTTATCACTGTTTGATTACTTCCATCGCATTGAATTGAAGATATCTTTATTTATTGTCGCAGGTGATGAAGAGGAAGAGACTAAAGAAACCAAGCAGGAGTTTACTCTCCTATGCGATTGGGTTAAGCAACAGCTTGGTGACAAGGTTGCGAAGGTCCAAATATCAAAGCGTTTAAGTTCATCTCCATGTGTTCTTGTATCAGGCAAGTTCGGTTGGTCCGCCAATATGGAAAGGTAAGTTTGTTGTTAAGCCATTGCTTTGTTTAGTCATTATCTGTTTCCTCATACATATGTATTTCTCAAAATCTGACAGGCTCATGAAGGCGCAAACACTTGGTGACACATCAAGCTTGGAATTCATGAGGGGAAGAAGAATTTTCGAAATCAATCCCGACCACCCAATTATCAAGGATTTGAGTGTAAGACCATTACCCCTTGGGAATCAATTGTCCAGCTTAAGAACAATTAATGTGCTTGAGCTATATGAAGTAACTAATCTGAATGATAAATTATTGTTGGCAGGCTGCTTGCAAAAATGAGCCCGATTGCACAGAAGCCAAGAGGGCTGTTGAGCTCCTATATGAGGCTGCTTTAATCTCAAGTGGATATACTTTAAGTACAATGGAATACATTTACGGATTTTGATGGTCTTGGTGAAAATCATTTATTAAAATGTTGGAATGTTTGTCATAATTCCAGCCAGAGAGTCCAGCTGAGTTGGGTGGCAAGATCTATGAGATGATGGCGATTGCCCTGGGTGGGAGATGGGGAAGGTCCGACACGGAGAAGGCCGAGGTATCAACAGGTGAGGCCAGCGCAGAGGCAGATTCATCTGAAGGCACCGTATCAGAGGTGATTGAGCCCTCGGAAGTTAGACCCGAGAGCGACCCATGGAGGGATTAGTGAGTTCTCCCACGGACATCTTTTGTTAGAACTTCATATTTAGCAGTGCCGGGGGTAAAATTAAGGCCATGGGCTAGAGCATTATTTGGTTACAGATACTTCTAGACGGGTTCCTGCCGTGGCAATTTTTGTAGGTGTAGACTTGCTGGCCACTAACATTTTATTGAGGTAGTAGTGGCCTTGGAAAACAATAAAGCATGGAGACTGATTACATAGCAAAATTGTGATGCCCCTCACAATATAATAATAAAAAAAGATGTTTGTGCACGGCTGTTTCCCTCCCCTTTATAAGGAGATCAGATCAACAGTTTGTGTTGTGGGCAACTCGGCTTTATTTTAGGAATTAGTTAATGTACCCATGATGAAATATAATATATATATATACACACACACACAAAAAAAAAAAACGCACGATGACCATAAGGAAACCATTGCCTGGTACTCGTATGTTGTTGCTGTTGCCGAAGCTGTTTTCACATTCCTGCATCGTTTCCTTTCGTTCTTACTGTAAGCTTACTGCAAGCAGCTTATGTCCCAGTGATCAACAGGGTAGAATGCCAAGATGAAAATGACCCGTTTTACGAGGTTCAAGTTATTGAAGCCAATATGATTCCATATGTTGCAACGCCTCAGCAAGTTTCAATGGACAACATAATGTTACGAACAGAGAGCATGCGAAATCATCAACATTCACACTAAATCACAACAAACTGATCTGAAAAGGGATCCATGGAATAGCAAAGCCTACAATGAATATAATGATGAGAAATCTACAAAGAGCTGTGGTGGGAAAAAAAAATAATAATAAAGTAAAAAGAATAGAGTAGAAGCTGAGCGTTTAATCTGAACATGTCTTTTTTAGTGCTGCTCGCTAACTAGCTATATATATTAACTATAACCACACAAACAAATACGCTGCCATGCAGCAGCAATCCGTGTCTATTTTCAGGTGTTTCTCTCTTCCTTGAGGAACACAAATTCACTTCACACTCTGACAGTGACGATTACCACTGACACTGTTTAATGTGCCTGCCTGTAATTGTAAACAACCGTGAGTGGTCCCTTGGCCTATCATCATTAGTTGAATGTTAATATTAGCGCCGGTGCTACTTTGCGGCAAGTACTGTTGTAAACTGCGTTTCCATTCAATGGCCGGGAATTTTCTTTCTACAGGGTTGTGTTGAAAAGTTGAATTGAGCCTCAAGGCAAATTTTCTTCTGAAGAATACAAATAAGTAGGTTCTCCTGAACTCTCTCATTTTCTAAGTAGCTAGAATCTCAAAAGGAAAGAAAGAAATAAGTTATTGTTTCTTCACGCAGATTACACCCCCCCCCCCGCTCAAGCCCCAGAAGTCTACCAGCTTTTGACAAAAATTCAGGGAATTGCCCTTGCTCAAGCCCCAGAAGTCTACCAGCTTCAAAACATGTATCTGAAGACCACAAGCGTTTACCAGTCATTATTATATAGAAGCAAGTCAAAAGTGACTTCGCAAAATAACTAGAAGTTGAAACTAAATTGGGGCCGTTGCTGTTTCGTTAGCTTGCATGTGGATCGAATTCAAATCATAACATACATGGTGTTTTATGCTATCAAGCCAATAATAACATCTATCAGGACGAAAATGTACAGGCATAGGAGCAAATAAATAAGACAGAAAACAACAAAACTCACTCAAAAGGGGAAAAGTAGCTTTCAGGCAGACTAATTGGTAAAACTAGGTTTCACTCAATCTCGTTAGCACACCGGTTAACATGTAAATTGGTAAGCAAAATAATTACAGGAATGCAACAGAGGAAAAACTAGCTGTACCCTGTACGTACCAAATAGAGCTATCAGTGGCTCTCCTCCTACCCTTGCTGATTCTGCAGTTGAAAAACTCAGTCATGAAGCAGAGCAATTGTATGGTATGAATCGAGAGCTAAATATATATTTTTTATCATGTGTATATGATGTTAGAAAAGATGTCATTATCTAGACATGTCCGTTGACACTAGAATGCCTGAATAGCTATGGTCTGCCCCGGACTCAAAGAAGAAGGTAGCCTAAACAAATTGCAGGCCCATTATTACTAGTGTAAAAACAACAAGCAGAAACAGCAAGAGGGTATCCGCTCATGTGCATGTTGTACCTCTTCTTCATCTGAAGATAGAACTGGGCGAGATCAGTTGACTGCTGCTTCCGGTTTACATGCTTCACGCGACGCCTTTTTTTCAACGAACGGTAGGTAAGATTAGATAACTTGACCAGTAAATCAATCCATTGTGCTAGAACTAGAAACAGACAGTAGTGCGCACATAATATACGTACTTGGACCCAATGGGTATAAAGTGGTACAGGCTGTTCCTGCTGCGCGGGTACTGCATCCTATCCCTGAGCTCGGGCGCCTTGTAGGCCATCTCCTCGACCATCTTCGCTGCCTTCTTCCTGACGAGTTGCCAATCCAGGAAGGCACTGCACGCAGTAGTAGTTCATCACAGAAAGTTAGCATGCTAGCTGCATATTTCAATCAATCAATCACAGTCGCAGCACATCAAGAGGGTAATTAAGAGAGACTTGATCTGGCATGATCTTTGCGCAGGAAGAGGACATCGCGTGGCAAAGCACGGATACTTATCAAGCACAGGTTTCTTGTAGATGCTCATGAGCCAGTCGCAGAGGTAGCCTATCACCCTGATCCGGCCGTCGGCGAAGGCCTTGTAGGCAAGGAGGTCAAACAGGAACACATTGAGGAGCCTGCCCTCGTAGCTCGAGTCGTACCACCTAGGTAGCAGGAAGCGTCTCGCGATTGGCCTTCCCTGACCATCTTCGCCAGATACTTGACGTTGAGGATCACATACGTCTTCTGTCTCGCACTGCGATTTGATGTTAATAGATCAGTTGTGTGATCAGCCAAATCATACCCAGGGGAGGTCGAGGGATGGACGAATCAAGCAAGTCAACAAGGGTTTCGTTGGAGCTGGAGCGTACGTTAGGTAGACGTCGACATGGCTGTGCATTCGGATGCAGGCAAGTAGCCGCCGGCGACGGAGGCGCCTCGTGCAAGGATATTCCAGCGAGTGCAACAGAGGGTGCTCTTGGCATGATGTTATTACTGCTTCAACTCCAGTTAGGTCACGCCAAACCCTTGTCCAAGGAGAAGAACCCAGACAACCCGAAAGAAATATGGGAAAATTCGTTCTCTAGCTAGCATAAAAAATAAAAAAAGATCGCGTGTTTTGGAAAGAAAATACCACCGCGAACAGGGGATGGCTATTGTGCCCTTCACCAAGATTTTACATGGGCGGCGTGCTCTGCCCGTTCGTCCAGACGCCGCCGCCCGAGCCTTGCTCCCCCACTGCGGCGCCGCCCCTGCTCCCCTGCTGGTGGTCCTCCAGCGCTGCCCCTGCTCTGGACCACTCCGGCGCCACCCTGCCCCGCCCTACTCCTACCAGCCCGACGGCGAACACCGGCTTCCCCGTGTCCTTCTCGCAGTGCTCCATGTACCTCCGCTCGGTGGGTTGGCGCGAGGAGGTCGACGGCGACGACGAAGGGCCCCGCAGAGCCCACCCGTGAGCGCTCCCCGTGGATGCGGATGCGTCGTCGGCCCGGCGGCTGCTGTTTTGGGCGTTCAGGTCAGGCGCAGGACCCAAGTGTTTTCCAGAGGACCAGCAGTTTGAATCAGTAAGAGCATTTGTGTCATAGTTTAACACTTTTACCACAAAAAAACTAACAGCTGAGGGCTTAATCTGAACACAATGTTTTTAGTGCTGCTCGCTAACTAGCTATTTATGTATTATTAACTAAAAACACAAACAATACGCTGCCAGTAAGATCCTGTAATGCAGCAATTCTGTGTCTATTTTCAGGTGTTTCTCTTCAAGAACACAAATTTCACTTCACACTCCACCCGGACAGGGTTTCCAACATCATCATAAATTCATAGCTGCAGCAGAGTTACTTCCGGTGTCTGAACTTTCAGCTCTGATTACAACCATGAAGCAATGCTAACATTTCATGGAGGAATCAAGCTTGTCCTGCCTCTGAACTCTGCAGTAACTCCATAGCACAAATGCTAGTTATGTGCCTTGCCCCTCTCTACTCCACGGCACATGTCAGGTGACCAGAAGCAACTCTGATCCTCCATGGAGCTGGACTGCTGGAGCTTGTGCCGAACTTCACATATGAAACCCATCCTGAACAGACCTCATGCTCAGATGCTCTGGACCGACTATGGCCCCATACACCGCCGTTTGCACTGCATTGTGGTGGAACGATCCGTCCAAAGTGAGAGGCATCTGCTCAAGAGGCTAAAGTTTGGTTAGGATTCTTGAAAACCAACCTGATTGCAAATGCATAATTGCTCTAAATTTGTACTCTGAAACACGCTGGGATTCTGCTATGCAAACCTGAGAGACATGATCTCCTATGGAATCTTTGCCGTTTTGTTGCTCCTCCATGGCTGTTCTGAAGCCATCTGGATTGGTCAAACCATGAACGCCTCCCGGGAGCATGCCTGACCGTGACAATGGCGGTAGTTTGGGCATCATTTCGTGGTAGATTGAGAATCCCAGGTGAGTAGATGAGCTTGAAGGAGCACTGGGGGCGCGAAAAAGCTGCATTCCACCAAATTAAGGATACAGAATCATTTTGTAATTTTGGTGCCCGTTTCTTGCAAAACTGAAAAAAAAAAGAGAACAAGGAAGAACTGCAGGTGAGTTTGTAGATTGCTTACATCTTTCGACAGAAGTTGTTTTATGTTGAGGCCGAGCTGTGGATTGACCGCCGCGAGCTTCATGGATAAGAACTGGGAGATGCAAGGGGAATCATGCATTTGTTCAGTACATTGCCTTTGTCAGATGAGAAAGGGAGACTTTCAGTATATGAGATTCAAGATGAACCATGCATACCTCCACTTGCCTTTGCAGGGACTGGACATAGTTGATGATCTCGTCCAGCATCACCGCCTTCCCAGTGACCTAAATCGATCCAAACCCAACCCGGCCCAAAGAAGGTGTCATTAT